GTTGCAGCTCAAGTCGGTCACATGATGAGAGAACACACCTGACCCCCCCACCCCGCTCTCAGTACATCTGTGGGCTGAATTCTGGCGCCAGTCCTCCATCTTCAGTCTGACCTCTCACCCTGACCCTCTCACTCTGTGAAATGCAGCATTGAAGTGAAGCACAGCAGGGCCACAGGGGACAGAACTTCCTGGGGTGGCAGAACTCCGAGTGGCTAGCCGTATGTCCACAGTGGAATGTGGAGGACCATGGGAACACAGGTGCCTAGTGTGGCTGCTGGGGGAGGTGCCCCTGGGAGATGCTGACAACCCGTCCCAGCAATCCAGTGCTTCTCACCCGCAAAGTCAGACCCAGAGGCACTTGTTCTGTACAGAACCATTTACCGGCTCTTCTTGTTCCTTCAGCCTGCCGCCGCCAGGAGCAGCTCAGTCTACCACAAACAGGGGCAGAGAATGGGCTGTGTGGAGATGCTCAGAACGCTTACTAGGATCCGAGTGCTGTTGATCCGCCGGTCAGCTGCTGGCTTCCAGCTGAACCTCTTCCTTCACGCTGCCCTTGCCCAGTACAAGCCATCTCTCACCCCAAGTTCCGGCCCCTGATCAAGAGCAGCCCACTGGCCACAGCTGGCTATAGGAGAGGTGGAAAGGCTGTCCCATCTCTCTTTGACTTCAACATACTACACTGAAGGGTCAACTCAGCTCAGGGGCTTTCTGGGGCCTTGGCTGCTGGACCCACTGCTGTGACACAGCACTCATGTTCAGCTCCTCCCTATCCCCATCCCTGCCACCTCCTCAGGCTTGAGGATATTGCTTCCAAGTGTGCTCAGTAGAAATCCATGTGTAATGGGCTGGGATGTAGCTTGGGTGGTAGAGTGCTTGCCTAGCAAGCATAAGGCTCTGGGTTTGAGTCTTACCTCCACATAAACTAGGCATGGTTGTACACACCTGTAATCCCAGGACTTGAAAGGAGAAAGCAGGAGAATCAGAAGTTCAAGGTCAACCTTTCTTACATAGGGAGTTCAAGGCCAGCCAAGGCTACAAGAGGCCCTGACAAAAAGAAAGGAAGGAAGGAAAAGACAAAGAAGTAAAAAAGAAAGGGAAGAGGAAAGAAGACAACTTACAACAAGTCTCCCCTGGAAGTCTAGGGCTTGTAAATTTGTGTATTGAGTGAACAGGCTTTAGGTTACCAGGATAGTCAAATTTGATCTGTAAAACATATATTCCATATTAAAAATATGTCACTGTGTTGGCTGGGCGGTGGTGGCGCACGCCTTTAATCCCAGCACTCAGGAGGCAGAGCCAGGCGGATCTCTGTGAGTTCGAAGCCTGCCTGGTCTACCGAGAAAGATCCAGGACAGGCACCAAAACTACACAGAGAAACACTATCTCGAAAAAAACAAAACAAAAAAAACCAAAAATCACTGTGTCACTCCATTTGCTCTCCTCAATAACTCTCGAGGCAGGTAGACAATCATCCCATCTCTTAAGTGAGTAGAAGATGCAGAAAGATCACATGTCTGACATACATCCCCGCATAAGATGAACTGATCTAAGCTTCTGCCCACCCCCAAGCTCTGCACTCTGGTTACTGCAATAGCCACAACTGATGGGTGAAAGACAGCACGTAAGGCAGGTAAACTGAGGCAGGAGTCGGGGCTTGCTATGCTGAATGGCTCACTTCTGAAGTCAGAGCTTCCTCTATTTTTTCTTGAGTTTCCAGCTGGTAGCTGTGGAATGTCTTGAGGAAGAGGCATCCTCTGGGACAGATGGGCATCTTTGGACATGTGTATATGACTTGGGTGTCTACAGGAAACAGTACATGCTGCCTGCTTGACAACGGTCTCTCAGATAAAGCATCCATGTGTCTGAGAATTAGGCATAAAGGGGGGATCAAACTACCATCTCCCTCTGGTGAGAGGGCACATTCTTGCCCTTGGCCATGAGTCCCTGTCCCTCTCTTCCTGCCTCTCTCCTGACTCTAAGATAGAGGGTCTCAGCTGGCAGAGCACCGGAAATAAAGCGGAATGTGATAACTCAGAGGGCATCCATTGGCTATCTGATATTATCTGACTAGGAATGGAAAGGGGCGGGGCAATCTTCAAAATCAATGACATCTCCAGAAACTTCTCTAAGATGACAATGAGGTATGTCAACAACACACAAACCCATATGGACAAAAAAAGGGACGGAAGGTGGGGGAGGGGCGTGAGATGGTTCAGAGCATAAAATGCTTGCTGCGCAAACCTGACCACCTGAGCTCTGTCCTGGGAACCCAGGTGACAGTAGAAGCCGAGAACTGACTCACAAAGTTGTCCTCTGCCCTCCACACATGCACTGTAGTACGGTGGCACCCACACCCCCCCCATACACACTCACACACACTAATAAGGAGTAATTTTAAAATCCCATTGTGTATAGGTGTCAATGAAGGAAAAAGTGGAACAGGAACCAAGAGCAGAGGTGAGAACTTTCTGGAAGTTTGAGTGGGATTCAAAGACACCTGAAGAGAGAGAAGAGCTGCTGTCTCCGGAGTGAAGGGAGAGAGAAGTGTCCAGGCATTGGCCCCGGGCTCACCATCAGTGGAATCAAGGTCTCTTCCGATCTCCTGGCAGGACCTTCCTGGTAGAGAGGTTTTGCCAGCACTCCGCCCTCGCTGGACCAGGAAGGACGGGCAAAGGGATGGCAAGCAGCCCCACAGTTCCAGGCTCTTCTGAGCAAAGTTTCCTTCCCTGTCAAGGTGTGCTTAGGACTCTTGGTCATCCTCACACTCCATGTCTACACTGACTCCAGTGGAGTCTAAGTGCCAAACTCCAAACGTTGCAGCCTTCATGAGAGACACCAGAAGAAAGGATGGGGCAAGACTGAGTTTCCAGACAGATGGCAGCGTGGTTGCTGAGGGAGTTGCCCAGTATCAAGAGCCCTTTCCCACTAGCTGAACCCCTAGTATGGACATGAAGTGAGTGTTAAGAATCAGGGTTATGGGGCTGGGAGATGACAAAGAGTGTGCTGTGCAAGCATGGGGTCCTGGGTTTGATCCCCAGACCCATGTTTTTTAAAAAAGCCAGATGTAGTGGTGTGTATTTGTAATCCCAAGACTGGGCAGGCAGAGGTGGGCGGATCCCTGGGCTCACTAGCCAACCAGTATCATCTAAGGGGTGAATTCCAGGCCAGAGACTGTCTCAAAACAACATTTTTAAAAGGCAGATGGCTCATGAGGAACAACCATTGAGATTGTTCACACACACCATGGAGAGGTTTAGGGAGAGGGTTCAGGCACACAGCACTATGGGATTTGGGGGTCTTACTAAAGCCCCTTTCTCCTACGACATCTCCTGCCTGTAAGATGCAGATAACCCTTGCAGAGCTGAGATCCAGCAGTTTCAACTGGGAGAACCAGTGCCGGGAGGGAGGCAGGGGCGGTATCTCTGTATGATGTCGGTGAAGACTTTGCACTGGCCCTGCGTTGCGCCACCGTCTCCCAAAGCATCTCCTGCGGCAGCGTTTCTGGATTCTCAGACCCCACTACACTCCCCTTTCAGCCCCTCTCCACCTCTTGAATTAGCAAGGTGAAGAAAACAGAGATCCAAAACAGTGACTACTCTTTCGTCCACAAGGCAGCCTCACCTCCGTGGGAATGGAGAGAGAAAACGACACAGGGTTTCACACAGGACACACTGCAGCGTGCACACACCATGCTGCCATGGACTGAGTTCAAAGGCAGAGCACATGCGTGCGCGCACACACACACAGAGAGAGAGAGAGAGAGAGAGAGAGAGAGAGAGAGAGAGAGAGAGAGAACGCTAAGAAAAGAATAGAATCTTGAACAATGCCCATTTATATAAATGAAGAGTGCAAACACACAAATGGCCAATAAACCATGAAAAAGTGCTCAGTTTCATTAGTCACCAGGGAAATGTCAATTAAACCACAATGCGAAACCTCTGCACACCCACTCAAGCAACCAAAGCAAAAATGACAAAAATACCCAGTGCTGGAGAGAGATGAACTGGAGTATTTATTCACTGTAAGTGTTGCGAATGCTGGTCGAACCAGTTTGGAGAACTGTCCATGTCCACAAAGGTGGACACACTCGTCAGGTTCAGGGGCACACGCGTTCACCCAAGTTCATGTTCCAGAATGTTCACAGTGTGCTACTTGTACTAACCCTAAACTAGAAACACTCAAACGTCCATCTGCAGTACAATGGATAAATAAGTCAATGTTTACATATTCACAGAAGGGTCAATGGACTAGAACAAGAACAAAACAGTAATTTGGGTGGATTGACAAATATAAGACTAATTTCGAAAAGTGGGGCATAAAAGTGTTTACACTTTGTGACTCCTCTTTAAACACACATTCAAAGTCAGCACACATAAGGCTAGTGTGTTGGGCTGGGGGGAAAGGGCTTGCAGCATAAGCCTACAATCTGAGTTGGCTTCCACCCGATCCACACAAAGGTGGAAAGGGAGAACCAACTCCATAAAGCAGGCTTCTAAGCTGTCTAGGCGGATTGTGGCATAAGCACCCACCCACACACTTCATCATCATCAATAAAAAGAATTTAAAGCTGGCAGAGCCAGCACCACGGCTCCGTGGGTAAAGGCACCTGCCACCAAGACTAGTGACCTTAGTTTGTACCAGGCTTTTTCTTTTGGGCCACCAACCAGCTCCCAGATTCATGGCACAGAGATTCATTAGTAGTTCTGAATGCTCGGCCTAGCTGAGGCACGTTTCCAGCTAGCTCTTTTAGCTTAAATTAACCTGTTTCTCTTTCTCTGCCTCTGCCTCGGGGCTTTTCACTTTTCTTCTGTGTGTCTGACGTTCACTGAATCCTGTGTCTGGCTGGAAGCAGCTGCCCAGCTTCCACCCAGACATGTCTCTCGTTCTCTCCTTTTCTCGTTCTTCTTGAGCCTAAAGCTCTCCTCCTATTTATTCTCTCTCCCTGACAGTCCCACCTATCTTCTCCTGCCTAGCTGCTGGTCATTCAGTTTTTTTTTTTTTTTAACCAAAAACATCTTTATTTTTTCAGTCTTTTAAAAAACAAAACAAACCTCTTCCTTTCTCAAAATAACCATGATTAGCTTAGAAAAATGGTGTATATATTCAAAGTATTTCCTTTTAACGGAAACTTCATTTTATAGAATATAGACATTAAAGGTTTAAGAAAAAGCCAGAATCTTGCATAAGGAAATCCATTCATACTTCAGGCCCTTCTCCTCCAGGAACCAGCATTGTTATATTATTTCCATTTAGTAAAATCTGATCTAATTTTGTAATCCTTCTTCCTTCTGGTGTAATTTCAAACTCAGTGACATCTTCCAACACCATATTGACAAAGTCATCAAATCCTAGAAGTGTACCAACAATTTCTTTATCACTCTTCATCACAATGTGAATTCTGGATCCTATACACTTGTCCACGAGCTCTAGTGGCAGGAGCTGAGACGGGTTCGTGGTCGCGTTAGCCGCCATGGCCACGCCGGAAGTCGTCATTCAGTTTTTTATAAGACCAATCAAGTGCCTTAGGCAGGCAAGGTAAAACAGATGCAACACATCTTTACATCATTAAACAAATACAGCAGAAACAAATGTAACACATCTTTACATAATTAAACACACATCTTTACATTGTTAAACAAATGCAGCAGAAACAAAAGTAAGACACTTTACACAGTTAAAGTAATATTCTCCAGCATAAAGAAATGAACACATATTTGCCCAGTTAAAATAATATTCCACAACATAAGTTCAAGCCCCAGAACTTACATGGTGGAAAGACAGACCTGACTCTTGCAAACTATCCTCTGACTTACACACACACACACACACACACACACACACACACACGACATGCCACATGTGCACATGCACACATACACAAAATAAAATAAATAGAAGTGTAAAAAACTTAGAGCAGGATAGCTAAGGGAATGTGATGTGGCTAACGCCGGCAGTGGTGGAAGAGAGACAGTGGCGGGGCTGTGAAGGGACTTCCGGGGTTTGGCAGTCTTTGGTCTCAAGTCACAACTCTTTGTGCTGGTTATAAGGATGTATTGGGGGGAAGCCCTGATATTAAACATTTAAGACGTGTGTACTTTTTCTATGTGCAGGTTTGATAGAAGGACACATAAAAATTAGAGCCTGGGGCAATGAGAGATAAAACAGGAGCTGGTAGCATGCCCTGGAGTGCTAACACCTCCTACAGGGACGCGTGCTTTCTCGAGAGCCGCCTCAGACTAGGAAGGGTGCTCAGTAGGAGGACAGCAGGGGTAGCAGCAACAGGGCAAAGAAAGAAAGCATGTGACAGTTGCTCTTCACTTCAGCCAGGAGTCATACCTCTGGGCGGGTCTGACGGAGTTCCTAGGTTAGGGTAACTGAGGTGGGAAGATGCGCCCTAACTGTGGACGGCATCAGCCCATGGGCTCTGGTCCTGGACTGGATAAAGAGGATAAAGCAAGCTGAGCACCAGCGTCCATGAGTCTGCTTCCTACCTGTGGGGGCAACATAATCAGCCACCTTCTGCCCCTGCCCTGCCTTCCCACCAAGATGGACCGCATCCTCCAGCTGTGAGCCAAAATGACCCGCCCGCCCTTCCTTAAGTTGCTTTTCGTCAGGTATTGTGCCTCAGCCATGAGAAACTGACACAGTCATACAAGAGTCTTACAGCCTGGAGAAACAGTGTGCCTACTCCAACTTCAAACCTGGGGAGCGGAAAGGGTGGAATAAAGGGTCAAAAGAAAAATCTCTGCTGCCTCTGACTGCTCACTGCACACTCCTCATTCACTACAGAAGGTCTGTAAGGAGAAGGGGATGTCCTGGATGTTGCAGGGTTTCTTAGTGAGGGTGGTACCTGAATACTCCAGATGCCAGCTGCCCTTTCTTGTCGTCTGCATCCTGTCTCAGAGCCCCAGATGTGTGTTCAAGGTGGAATCTCCATTTGGTATAGATTTTCATTTCTCCTTCCCACAAGCTTTACACACACACACACACACACACACACACACACACACACACACACACACACACACTCACACGGTTTAAACCTAGTTGATTCACTGTGTAGCCCATCTCTCCTGGCAACATCTGGCCCAGCACTGAGGAGAAAGGATAAACTGCAGGATTAGGAGTAAGGGAGTCTCCCCCTCTCACCCCCAGCACCTTTTGCTTCAGCCTCTCTCCAGTCGGCAAGTCCATTTGGAAGTCTGAATATGAATTCTGGATCCAGAGGCAGGTGGTTAAAGTTCTCAGGGAGGGAGGGACCTTCCGATCAGTGCATTTGCCTCCTGCATGATGGGTGTGGGCTCCAGCTCTGGGAAGGCGGGTCCCACAGCGGGATCTGCTTCGGGACGGTGGATGCACTTCTTACTTTGACCACTAGTGGGAGCTGCTGGCCAACCTCAGGCCTGGCAGGGGCTAGAGGCCTGCGGTGGCAGATTGATCTGTGGTCCATCTGTCAGACCCTCCAGACGTTCCATCCGGTTCAGAGCCAGAGCGTCTAGTGTCCTGAACATCACTGTATATGTATGTCCTCCAGAAACTCCTGGATACACCACTGGCCCACAGCCACCTCTTCAAAATTCCTATAAAGAAGCTGCTGGACAAGGCATAATGGCACAGGACTTTAATCTCAGCACTTGGGAGGCAAAGACAGGCAAACCTCTGTGAGTTCAAGACCAGCCTGGTCCATATTGCAAATTCCAGGCAAACCAGAGATACATAATGAGACCCTGTCTCAAAACAAAACAAACAAGTGCCTGGTCCCAGCTTGCCTCTGGTGTGTGTGTGTGTGTGTGTGTGTGTGTGTGTGTGTGTGTGTGTGTGTGTGTATTGTGACTCACAAATCCAGAGCTTTTCAGTACCCTTTGAAGCCCAGCACCAGTTTAACCTTCCAAGAGTGCTTGTTTCCAAGAGCCTCGACAATATGGTAGAGAAGTAAAACTGTTGGAGGGAAAGACTCTGTGTGTGTGTGTGTGTGTGTGTGTGTGTGTGTGTGTGTGTGTGTGTGTACTCCTGTGATAGCCCTGGGCAGTCAAAGGGAGAGGGGCACTGTCCTTTGCGATGGTCTATGGTAGTGGCCTGTCTTGTTAAATACGGGGGATGTACTCCCACAGCGTCATGGCTTTCCTTGTGGGTCTGCCTGGCTGTGTGAGCAAATGGACAAATCTGTGCCTACACATGCACAGCTGTCTGAGTGTGAGTGTGCCCGGGACAGTGTCCTTGGGGGACAGTTAGTGCTTGTGTCAGCATGTGACTTGGTATCCCTGTGTGTGTCAAGTAGAAGGCTGAACATGGTTCAAGAGGGTGTGTGGAGGTGTCTGTGTTCGGTGACTGTGTATTGGATACTGGGTCTGCACCTGTGTGTCAGCGTGTCCACATAGATATCTACAATGAACACGTTTCTGTAAGTCATTGTGTCTCTAGAAATGTGGTTCTAAGTGTCCCCATGCCAATGTGTCAGTGGATGTGCCTCTAAGTCACGTGGGTGTCATTAAGTTTATCAGTGTGTTCCTCAATGCCAGCGTGTGCCAATGGTGTCTGTCCATGTGCGTATCTGTGCGTCGGTATCTGTATCCGTGTGCATGTATGTGTGGGTCACTGTGTCTCAGCATGGGTGTCAGGTCATGCCTGTGTCCACGTGGATAAATGGGGTGTCTGGGGTAGGGTCCCCAAGACAGCGAAGAGGGCGTGTCTGTGTACGCTGGCTCGGGCAGCGTGTGTGCCAGTGTTTGTCGGTGTGTGCCTGTCCAGGTCTGCGTGGGTGGCTCTCTGTGGCGAGGCGTCCGCGTGTCTGTCTGTCCGAGTCCGCGTGGGCGGCCGTCTCCGACAGGGCGCGCCCGGGGTCAGGGCGGTGGGCGTGCGCCCCGCCGGGGCTGGGTAGCTCTCCCCGCGAGCCGGGCGGGCGCAGCGCCACGTGCGGAGCCCCGGACGCGTCGCTCTGGGGCGGAGCCAGCCCGGGGCCCCGGAGCCCCAGGCCGAGCCCAGGCGGGGCCCGCCCCCGACCCCGCCCCCAGCCCGAGCCCGCGCCGCCCGCCGAGCCCGGGAGCCCGAGCCGAGCGGCGGAGCCGAGACGGCGGCAGCGCCCGTGAGATGCGGGGATCGCGCCCCCGGGGCCGCTGAGCCTGCGCCCGCTGCCCCGAGCCCTGCGCCGAGCCGAGCCCGCGTCGCGCTGCAGCCGCCCACCCCGGGGCGCGGGCCGGGGACCAGCAGGTGAGCGAGCACCCCCCGTGTCCCGCAGCCCCCCGCGCCTCTGCGTCCGCCGCCGCCCAACTTTCCTCCCCGATGGCCCGGAGCCGCCCAGCCCGGTCCCCAGCCCCCGGCAGCCGCTGTCCCCGAGGGGGGAGGGGCGGGAGAGGCGCAGGTGGCCCGGGCCGGGGGTTCCCTGGGGCGTCTCTGTTCGCCGCGGGTCTCCTCCCGTCCCCTCTCCTTCCGGGTTTCCCGTGCGCTGTCGAGGGCCGGGGGATGGGGAGCTTCGGCGCCGACTCCCGGGCCATCGCTGGCGCAGGCTCTCCTAGGGGCTGGGATTGGGACCCGGATTCCCGAGGCCGGAGACCCCAAGGTCAGAGCAGCGACAAGGCGCGCGGAGAATGTGCCTCTGGAGAGCTGAGGGTGAAAGGGCTGAGCGGGCACCGACCAGGACTAGGGAGCAGGCCGAGCGCTCGTTTTCCCTGGGCCCGGGGGTGTGGGGGGACCCGGCACCCGGGCTATGCCCTGGGTTAGACGAAATCTCTGCACCCCAGGAAGGGATCTGTGCGCGCTATCGGTGGTCAGATCTACGAGTGTGCTCTGTCTCTGGGCGCTCCCACCATGCTGAGATCTCCGTGCCTTGTTGTCGCCTTGAAGCAGTCGCATCTCCTCTTGTCTCTGTGGGCTCTCTCGGGGAGAGATCTCTGGACAGGGAAATTCGGGAGAATTCTTCGCTCTCCTTGCTTTGACCTGGGCAGACTCGCGCACCCGGACGGGAGAGGGAGGCGGCTCTGGACCCTGTGTTGTTTGATCGTCTTTGGAGGTGCCCTGTGAGGAAGTGAGGTGCCTAGCCTTGTCTGAGTACTGGTGAGGACAGCGATGTGGTGGGGCTGGTGGCGGTGGCGATCATGATGCCGGGAAATGCTAAGGACGAGGCCCTGGCTGTGGGCAGGCCTTCCAAACACCTGTTGGAGGGCAGCGTACTAGGACCAACCTCAGAACTCACTCTTGTCTCCTTGGAGACTTCAGTCTTGTTGGACCATGGGATCGGTGTGGCCTTGGGGTCCTGAGCTGGCTCTTCCAGCAGTGACCCCAAGCACCATGCAGAGAAGCACAGAACAGGACCCCCATGAGCTCCAGACCGTCTGTGATTCACTGTCTTTCAGGACTAAGGCCCTGTGCAGCCTGGGCCACCCTGTCCACCCCTCCACTTCACTAGCTGTCCCTGTCCCCTCCCTGACAGAATTGGGCAGATGCCCATATATGATGGTCATACACGGGAAGATGAAACAAGGGAA